AGAGGTCGTCCGCGGCCTTGTAATTCGACTTTTGTGCTGCTGCAACAAGGGAAGTAAACGATATAATCGTATTATACTATATCATATTATATCAACATTTAGATAATTCTCAATGAATTCTAACATTACAAAATAATGATATTATAATTTCAGAGATAACCTGTCACTTTTTATTATATCCTAAAAATTTAAGAATAAAGAAGAAGAAAGAAACTACCTAATTATATACGCAACTCGACAAACTGTAGACATAATTATTTCAATAAGTTTACAAAACTTATTTTTAATTACAATTCTTTTACATAAAAATATTTTTATTCTAAAATTAATTTTTAATTAATTTTTCCTAAAACGCACCAAAATATATATTGATCTTTAAGTTTTTAAATATATTAATTTAATTTTTATTTTGTGAAAACATTTATTCCGTATTTACGTTAATTAATAAATAATTTGCACATCATATTGATTATGTGTTAAATTGTGTCATATTAATGCATACGTTTTATTTACGACAATTATTATGTGATATAATAAAGCTCTGAATGTCATTAAATCCGGAACCGCAATGTTCCAAAACGAGAAGTTAGATCATCCCGCAGTCGGCTAGCTACTTCACAATTATGATTTTAATTATGAACGGAAGTTACCGAGGGACTTACTGGAGCCGTTGTTATCCGAGCGTCGCACTCTTGATTTACAAAATTAAGTGAAAATATTTATGAGCAATTTACACGCGGCCGATATTACGCACTGCATGTTTCACGTGGTAACGCGCGCACGTCATCGTCTCACGCTACTTCGTCGACCACGGACTTTGTCGCAAATTAAATGCGGTTGCCGTCGGGCTTATCCTCGGCGGGAAATTTCCTCTGAATTATTGACGAACTGCCGCTTTTGACTCTTGATGAAAGGAACGTTAGCCCCTTTATTTCCCATATAACATAGAGTGTAATGAATCTCGCAATAACCAACTCACGTTCAACAAAAGAATCATTTCTTGTGGCAGTCAATCGGCCTCATTAATTTTCCATCATCCATTAGTACAAGAATAATTGAAAAAAACACCTATAAAAGTTTCAATTATATATATATATATATATATATAAAAGAGAAATAACATTTTTAATACTTTAATATACTGGCCTCTTACATATATTATCGAATAATTAAATGCCCAAATTTTCATAAGAAATAATTAAAAAATGATATCCAACGCAAATAAATGTGGAAATATTAATTTATTATAGTGTCACATATACGACAAATATAATTTATGTAAACGTTTTGATTTTTCTCAGTAAAAACAATAATAAACAATTAAAAAATGAAGAATTATAACCTAAAATTGTAAAAACTATTCTTATTCGCAAATACGTATAGTCGTTATATTTATGATTCTTTTAATGATATTAGTAACTTTGATGAATTATTAAAATCGATATGATTAACGAAAACTGTAGTTCCTGCTAACTTAACTTTATAGAACCGGATTAAAATTAAAAAATGTCTCTTTATTCAATAATCGACATAACACCAACAAATAAAAATTTAGATAAACTTATAGTTTGACATCCGTCGAGTAATATAATAACAATAAGTGAATTATAGTTATGTCCAATTTAAAACGTAAAAAAAAGGTGAAAGTCAATAAGTAATATCGATTATTGAGTTATTGTATTATATTTTTTTAAACTATTGTTTTTAAAGTATTATAAATTTATAGAGAGGTAGATAGATGATCATGAAATAAATAATAATAAAGAAATAAAAGAGACAGACCGGGATAGATTAAGCTATAACATGTTTTAAGTGAATGGTTTTCAGTGAAAACGACGGTTGTGGTCAGACATGGCTGACCTAACTTCGCTTCTACTACTAGTATATTGCGCTATAAAGGCGTACCGCACACTCGCATTAGAATAAACTATATCCATCTACGCTATGATGCACATCAAACGTGCAATAAATGTAGAACATGTGGTAGCACTGTGGCGCTATCATAACCTTTTAACCCTCGGGGACGAGTCGTGAGCACCACACGTGTGCTTCGACAGAAGAGAGGGTTTGTGCTGTTAAATACGCATTTTGAAAAGAGCGCATACAAATCTCAAATATTAAAAAAAAAGAAAGAAAAAATGTTTATACAATATAATATAATTCTTAATTTACTACATGTGTGTGTTAACGTTGTTATATTAATATATAATAGAACCTACTATATAGAAGTTATACTACTATATGTATAACTTCTACATAGTATAAGAATTATGAAATTTGTAATAACTGGCAGCAAAAAATAGTTTAATAGCAATTTTAATTAATGCTCGTATATACATATTTGCACTTTTTACATTTTCAGTTCATTTAACTTTTATTTCGCACTTCCATATGTAAAATTCACCTAAAACCGAAGCATAAAACGATAGATTGTAAAAAAGTTGCTTAATAAAAAATTCTTTTTTTTGTACTACCCATTTAGGAAATATAACTTTCGTGATAATATAGATAGGCAAAGAGTCGCCTGAGATTTTCAACGAGACTTGTTAAAATAAAAACTTGGAATAAACAAGAGAATTGAAAAAAGCAAGAGATAAAATTTCACGAAGCGTTGTAAACTACAAGACAATTGTAATAAATATCATGGACGTTTACGACTAATTCGTTGCTTTCGAGAAATTCCTTGGAGAAACTCTATTATCACTTGCGACGTTTTGTCGCTCCTCAAACATGTACCTATACCATAACTGCAGGTCAACGCGACCAACAAAATTGCAAATAGTTATTACGACTTGGATTCCACACACGCCGTATGCTTAGCATGTCGAAGCAAATAGCAACAGCCTGTACGAAATTCCAAATGTTTGGTGAACTGGCATTAGCGTTTCTCGGGATCCCGAGAAACCATGAGTACTTTCCGAGGATTTCAGATATTAATGCACTAGATATTCATAGAAGCTCTATCTTTATTCGGTCAAATCCAATATCTATAAACTGTATATTTAAAAGTTATATCGTCAGTTGAATTTCTATCTATTCTGCGTATATTAAATTATTTGACATAATTGCTCAAATGATATAATAAATTACAAATTGATATAATATAATTTCATGCTTTTAAAATCCAACAAAATTGTTAAAATTTGTTAAATATTATAGAGGCAAGTTAAAATAAAATTTGTAATATTACACAATAAAATATGACAATATTTAATCACGGAAAAGTTAGGAGCTTTGTTATTAATACTTGTTTCGAGTCGTCAAATTGAATGAGAGCGGATGTTTTACGTTTTTCTATGTCGATTTCAAAATTGAGTGATCAAAATTTAATCAACGCGAGAAGCGTGCCAAGAGGCATCCATATGTATCATCTGTCTTAAACTATTTTGCATACGCCTCGTCTACAAGAGAGAAAAGCTAGTAGAGGGAGAATTGGAATATCTTTCGTCCGTTCCGGAAGACGGAGGATATTCTAAAAGAGAAAATGAAAAGTGGCGGATGTAAGAATGTGTGCAGGGTTGAGGAAATAAAATGTGCCTTTGATGTCGTTCAGCTTGGTCGAACCTTTTTGCATTTCTTTGATATTTCGAAGTTCTAAAAGTTTTCGCGCAGCAGATAGAACAGACGAAGAAGGCAAACTTCGGTCTCATCATCTAAAAAGGCTCGTTATTAAAGAGAATGTATTAAAGAAAACATAATATTATTTAACTATATACGCTATATAGAAATATACATATACTTCTGTAATTTTTACATGTTTAAATAATACGTATATTAAAAGCTTAAAAACCGATGAATATTAATACAAATTCAAAAAATTTAAATTAATCTTTATAGATATTCATTTAATTCCCGATAATCAAAGAATAATTTATGAGAATAAAATTTATTGAAATTATATGTCAATTATTCATTATTAGTTTAAGTAGATTAATTATAAAAAGTAAAAATATAGATAACTGTTACTTAATATTTCCTATTGATCTTTGTTAATACATACTAAGTAATAATACAAAATATTCAACAATATATATTTTCAGAAATAGTCTAACTATCAGCGTTTCAAATGTAAAAATAATCATATTTTTATCTTCAAAATTCTTCAATTAAATTGAGGATTGAATTGGAAACACTATTAAGTCTCATTGAAAGTATTTCATTGTTGTCTAATGAACTAATTAAAAAGGAAATCGAGGGATTTTGTTCGTTTGGTGAGCCATTGCACGAACGCAAATAACGTTGAGCGTAATCTGTCTTCGTACGTGCCATTTGCCTTTGACGTTTACCACCGCGAAGGGCGCCGTGCTATTGATGATAGCGGCGGCGTTGTCAGGGTTGATAGCGGGGTTGATAACGCGCTACGCTCGTGGACACACAGTTTCGCGGGCGAGAAATAATGAAATTTGCCGTTGACGAGGCGAATAGTGATTAATGAGCCGCACACAGGTGCAAATGTCGTGTCGCTCGACTGAGGCTGCGCACATGTGTCCATGCACGCTGTGCTGGAAAAGTTCGACGACCGAATGACTAACAAGAACAGGGAGAAAAAGATTGATCGAAATACAATTGGGAGAAGATAAAAAACCCCACGTACAAACTTCGTTTGCCGTTTCTTTGACTGATTCGAAGTCGATTTTTCTTTAATAAAACATTGGAACTCATTCTGCGGTATTTTTTTTAATTTTCAACATTGATTATCTTAGGGATTAAGTATTACGTTAAAAGTCAAGTTATTTAAGTTTTAAGTAAAGTTGAAGAATGAATAGATAATCAGGATAAATGAATAAATTTAGGAAAGGTTAATTGTATAATATCAATCGCTCGTAATATAATGCACGAAGAAAAGATGTCTCACAATTATAAAGGCACTTTCAGCTTATTTTTTAATATTCACTATAATCTCCAAGTTTTAGAATGTAATTTTTCAGCGCCTTATGTATATTAATAGAATTTAGTAGTAAGAACACTTGGAATACAAACGGCTCCATTTCATGTTTCAGTTCATACATGAAGACAATGAAGTGGCTTTGGATAATTGTCTTAGTGGCTCTGGCGCTGCCAGCTGCTGTACCACGAAAAATCCACAGAAGTAAGCCTAGTAAGTAAACGTTGTTTTATAGTTTTATAGGAGTAGTTTTAAGCTGTAATAAAAATTATTCTGTATTTGTGTTAAAATTTGTTAAAATGTTTGTGTTGAACCTTTAACATACCAGAGTGCTGAAATGTAGATTTTAAAATAAAGATACAAAACAGACGTGTTAATTTAACTTAAGTATATCAATGTTAATATTACTAAAATATGTTTTCACAATTTGTTTCTAAACTTTATCAAAATATTAACTTTTTATATCATACACTATTAAATTTATAAAGTTATATATCGAGTATGAGCACACAGTGGCGACTTAAATTAGATTTTTGACACTATACTATATTTTACAGTGATATTTATATTAATGACTAACACTTTCATTTTATATTAAATTAATACAAAAATTTAGACTATTTAGAACATGTAAGATATATTATATTAAATTTAACACAAATTTTGTAATTGTGTGAGTATTATAACTGTAATAGTATAACTGAAGTATTGTAACTGTATTAGTTATTATGGTACAAGGAAAATATTATTCCTCAAACAAAAATCATTAAAAAAAATTTTTGTGAAGAGAATGGTTTATCTCTTTCAATAAATTAGTTACATTAATTACTTTCATTAGTTACAATTATCGCGATTTGTTAGTTATTTGTGCATTTTGTATTTCTTATCTGAGGAACGGAAGTTCGTAAGGTAAGCTTTCGTATATATCAAAGAACGTATCATGTAACTGACTGGAAAAATATTCGATCATAACGCTCCCGTTTTCACCGTTATCCTATCATGGACATTCCTATATGATAGTCTCTGAAAGGATCGGAGAGCTACTCGATATATCGCGAGTAGGCGGAAAGTCGATTTTGATCGGGACGAGGCTGTGGGGAATCACTTCATATTGTGATTGAAGAAAACCACTGTTGCTTGTTTTCACCGCGTAACGACGGTAAGCCGATCTCGAAAGATATCTGTGATTGCTCAAAAATATTGCTATCTGAACACACAATACTGCTATCTAAAATTGTTTTACGATAAATTTTCGATACTTCTACCTACAATAAAAAACGAAAAAAAATTCAATTTTTACCAAACGGCAATATATATTGTAGACACGGAAACAATAAGACACTTTGATATCATCAAAACAATTCGAAAAGATCGTATCACGTGTTGGCAAGAATAGCATCGAAATGTTTCCGTTTTTCAACTGGACATGCGAGTAATTTCTGAAATGATCAGAAAATCTTACGACATGTCGCGAACAAACGGGAAGTTGTAAAGCATTATGAAACAAACACGAACTTCCGCATCCAAGTTGCACGAAATCCTATTTTTTTTCTTTCTTATTCTTGCATTTCTTTATTGTCCTGATTGATATATTTTGCTGAAGAGCAAAATACGCTATTCTCTTCATTCCCGCGTCAAGACGTGATCAAGATTTTCTCCTTCTTGCTCTTCGCGAAGAGGAAATGAGTAGTATAGGAGCTGTATTGGTCGGACTTAGGCCTTCATCCGGTGGCAGATGTCGGTTATTGAAAGGAGATATTTTCTTTTTGTTTTCAGCGCCACGATTGTACGGCGACAGAGTTCCCATCAGTTTAATAAGGACTACTAGCAGCAAGGTACGGCAAAAGATCGTGGACACCCACAATTACTTTCGCACGCAGGTCAAGCCATCTGCCGCCAACATGCTCGTCATGGTAAGAATTCTATTCCTATATATTTCCGTCCAATAAGGAAGAACATTTTAAAGAAAAAATCGATTCCCGTTCGTCGAAGGCGCACCCCTTGTAGAAATTTAATACTATAGCCAATTTAATATTGAAAGACAGTAATTAATTACTTATTTTAAGTATTAAAAGCACCATCGTTCAGCGCTTTTAATACTTAAAATAAGTAAAATTAATTATGGTCTTTCAATAATAAAAGTTTTATTAGATTTATGTAAAAGGACATTAGAATTAGGCGTGCTGAAAATGGATTATTTTTCATATCACGTCTATAAGCTTTCAGAATATTTAATCATGCGATAATATAAATAATAACATGGTTATACTGTGCTTTTCTAATCATACGAATGTTTTTCGTGTTAAAATCTCGAGCGTATTATACATGTATAAATACATGAATAAATGTATGTAAAGCGGGAAAATTGTTTGTCAGAAATAGATCTACAACGATATCACTTGATAGTGAATCGCTGTAGGACAACGATAAACGGTTTAAAAGGAAACTTATACTGCAGCGTCTTCTGTAGCGTTAGAAGTACAAACGCAAGTATTTCAGCGAGACACGAAATCGATATATTCTATTTCCGTTGATCGACGCCTGTCCGCGTGACTCGAGCTTCAAAGTAAAATTGGTTTCGTCGGGCGGAAGTAGATGTTGCGCGCTTCATCGGAACGTTTACGAGAACTTTCGCCGATCGCGATAACCACCTTTCTGTAAATTTCATCGGCAGTTTATCACGATATTTCAGAAACGTTCGCTTTTTGTCTGTCATCGTTTTTGCGCTACAGCGCAGCGGTACAGTGCGATCAATAGTCAATATTGAGAACTTTGATACACTTGTCATTGTGTTTTATCTCGCAATGACATATACTCGTATATTTTTGTTATTTCGTGAATGATGATGAAACACAGGAATATGGAAATTTTATTAAGGTGTAATTTAAGGTGATTTCGCGATCTCTGTAGTGATAATTGTGTCAAATTTTTATACACACGAATTGGACAATTTTGCTGAAATATCTAAAAGTTTAACTACACACACATTTAAAAATAATTTTATTGGACCATCAAAATAATTACGTAGGATGTTCAAGCTGGTTGCAAAAATGTCAAAACTTTTAGCAGCATTGTATATCGTCATCAATGCTCGAGCGTTCTATATATATAATTATTTTGATGGTCCGACAAAATTGTTTTCAGATTTGTATTGACCCAAATTTTGAGATACTTTAGCAAAACTGTTTTTTCCATATACAGTTTACTATCGATCATTCGAAATGAATAAAAAAAAGATATATAATGCGAACACTATTTTTCACAGATATGTCTATTAAATTTACTTAAAAGGTTCGTTGTATCAAAAAAAGAGTTAAAAGTCGAAGCAAAATCGAAGCCAGGGACTTTAACATACTTTGTGTTTTATTTAAAAAGAAATATTTTACTTCTCTTTTCAAAGTAGTTCAGTTTTAACTTTGTTTAATACAGAGCTTGATAAAAAACAGCAAACCTTTTATATCAATTTAAATGTACTTTGAGTGATAAAGAGACAGAACTGTCTTTATCTCTTCTACATTTTGAATATAAAAGATAAATAATATTTAATACAGAATATTAAATATTGCTGATAATGTTAAATGTTGCTATGTATCCATTTCTTAATTAAAAGAATTCTGACGCAAATATCCGTATATTAAACATAATTTTATTACTATTATATTACTATTATATATACATATATGAAGTTTCAAAAATCTAAATTTTTTACATCCGCTTCACTTGAATCTAGGATTTCTACGCGCAGAATTCGTGAATAATGCGAGCGAGCGGTTTCGCAGCCAGTTCGAATAATAGTAGAGATGGATGCTCGCTTTGAAATTCTATCGATTTTCCTAGATTTTCATCTTTCGGTTCGTCTTCGACAATACATTGTAACTTTTCAAAATGGAATCTTTCCAAACTCTTCAGTACGCATATCTCTTTCCTTGTAGAAATAGAAATAACCCCTTTCGACTGCACTATAATCTTGATATTAATTCTATCGGATTATTTCGTTTGAGTTCGATTAAGTATAAAGATGTATCTTAATATGTACATATAATAAAAATTATATAATAAATAAATTTTATTGTTAAATATAAAATAATTCGGACTCTCTCTCTCTCTCTCTCTCTTTCTCTCTCTCTCTCTCTCTCTCTCTGTGTGTGTAGATATATATATATTATTAAATTTTATATTTAAATAGATAAAAATAACTATTAAATTATTATTGAAATTTAAATTAGAAATACATTGCTGTTTTATGTTATTATTATTACTGTATATCATATATTATTTTGAAGGAATTAGAAATTTATTTCGATTGGATCTAACTATTTTGACTATTGTATATGATAATCATTCAAAGATTTCAATTTGTATATTTAATAACATCGTATTATAAAATTAATTAGAAAATACAGATTTAGCTGGTTCATTCTTTGTAAAATTTGCATGGATAATATTCGGAGAGATAATTACCGGTCACGAATGAGAAGGCACTCTTCTGGAAACGCAACAAAAGCAACATAATAAATACAGCAGTAACGTAATTCAACTTTCTCGTGCACAATGCGCATTTAATTTGAGTTTTTGGCAACTTCGCAGATAACGCGCGCCGTTAATTGGACTGATTAAAATTAAGCGACGAAAGCGCTTGTTATCTGCTCGTTTCGCGATTTTCTGTATTTCTCTGGAAATTTATCAGAATGTAAATCCTATAGCAATTATTGTTTGCAACACGTGCCTTTCTTCTATTTGAATGCTAAAGCATGATAATAAGATGCACAATGTTACAGAAATAATAGATAATTAAACAACGGTAATAGATTGTATATAGTAAACAATTTCACAACTTTTTGAATAAAGCATAAAATTTATAATACCAATATTATTATGAAAAGACTAACAAAAATATAGTTGATTATGACGCGTTATTAATCATTTATCTTATATTTAATTATGTAATATATTGTAATTACAGTCAATCCTCCCATAACACGATACTTCGAGAATATAGTTTCGATATAACATCGCGTGTAAAAATTGCGACACGTCTCGTACAACACGATCCTCTGAGAACACGGTTTCTATATATAGCACGACTTAATAAACTTGGGAAACCTTCATATAACACGAATCTTGTATTTAACCCAGGAATCAAAATTGAATATTATTTCGATAATTTCGCAATTTAGGTAGCATGGAATATATTTCCTTGATCTATACATCACTTTTAAGTTTTCCTTAGTACGGTTTCGATGCGACACGTTTCGAATCAACCGTGCTATAAGAGGGTTGAATTGGTACTTTATATATACTGTCCAGGTAAAAATTAGGAGATACATTAAAAAAATTAATGTTTTTGAGATTATACTTACTCAAATATTTATAACAGTGTATTCTTTTAACAATAATATTTTAGAAGTTCAGATCCAACAGTTATTGGAGAAAAAAAGTATTATTGTAAAAAAAAACACATTGTTATATGAATATTTGAGTAAGCAATCATAAATGTCAATTTTTTAAATCTGTTCTCAAACTTTTGGTCAGAAGTATATGTGATATATATATAATTATGTTATTCAAACGTGACTCAATTCATATAATTCTATCACCCTCAATGAACTCTCGATATTAAGATGTTAAACGCACTGTGCATACAAAATAGCGGGTTTTATCAGAGATTTACCTTACGAAGCGGTTTACTTGATCAGAAAACTGAATTTTCGAGGTTCGCCGTCGAGTACGGTGCAAGATTTCAATTTCCGCCTGCATCGATGTTATTATCCGTTCTATATATGGTATAAACATGTATGTGTGCTATATATCACTCACTTCCCGTTGTTTCTCACGGCGATATAGGAGATATGTATTCCAGAAGGAAAGGCGATATCCACTGCGGTTGGGAGTTTAACCCAAACAAATCAAAATGTAGATTAACTCAATCGCTTTTCTTGTACAAAAAATAAATAAATAAAGTAGACATAAGATTAAAACCGTAAAGAATGTGCAAAAAGAAAGTCAGCATGATTGCTAACGCAATTTTCCGATTTTCTGCAACTTCTGTGCTACTAACGACGATATACGTATAATTATATTAAATCATAATTATATCTAATGTTAATAAATTAAATTATTTTGTGATTAATTTCTTCTTGTTATATACAATGTAGTTGCATAAATTTCCGAGTATTTGAAGTTAGCTTCCATATCTGGTAAAATATCTTTCCGGAAAATCCGGTATATTTGTGGACGCAGCCAGGTGTCTACGTGGTCAGACCATCTCTAAGTCTCCTTGTCGCGTTTACTCGTCGTTTCTTCGCGCCGCCAATCTCAAGCTTGGTTATAAGTTACACGACTTCCCACTTAAATTCTTTTCCCACGGAAACTACCAGGGACGTCACCGTAAAAGCTACTTTCGGCGGGAGTTACGCCGAAGATGCGACTGTTATCTGAGGTTTCTCGACAAAACTCCAGATGCGATGTAGTTTCTTGAGGAGAGAATGACTGGTATCGAGAATCCTTATATCGATTTGGTAGGGTCGAAGTTAGGCAATATCGCGTACACAGTTAACAAGAGACATTATGTTTTTTATTCAGCTAATTAATCATTACAAATTATCAATCATATTGCTATTATAATTATTGAAAAAAAAAATCACGATTGCTGGAGTTTTTGGACATTTGAGATTTTAATATTTTAATATAAATTCTCGTAATAGAGACTTATCAGAATTATCGTTTATAATTTTTCCATGTCTTCAATTGCATAATTTTTCTAAGTGTTTTTATTCATAATATCATTATGTTTTATTGTATATATATTTACAAAAAAAGAGCAGAAAGAAAGAGTCGATATAACTATACATAAATGTTGATCCATGAAATATAATGTTAATGTACCTAAATATATCTTGTACCAGACAAGAAATAATTAAAAACGTAATTTCAAAGCATATTGTGCGCTACAGGATACTACACCTGGTACTTAGAATTCAGAACTAACTTTATATAAGCAAGAAAGCAGTCGCCTCAAGATGCATAAATCAAGGAGCGCCTCTGATTAAGGAAACCTACTCAGGACTTAGGTTCTGACTTTCTGAAGCTTAATATGAGCACGTAGAATGCAATATCGGAGCATCATGGGTAACTTTTGACCGTTTTTTTACATTAAATTATGTAGTTGCAGTTATTGCGACTATAAATGCGATTCATTATGCAGAATTAAGGCGCGCTTATAATTTGGTATTGAGCACAGGAAATGTGGAGGAATAAACGGAAAAGTAAATATGAGAAATGGCAAAAAAGAAAGAAGCGTAACATCTTCTCTCGAGAAACTTCTGAGAACGAGAAATTTGCCTCTACGGGGTGAACATTATGGCTTTGAAAAGCACGATATTTGCATATAACGAGCAATTAAGGAGCCAAAGGAAAGTCAAGAAACTTTTGCCGCGAGTTTACGTATGCACGCCGACACGAGAAAACTTTTTGCATTCGTAAATGCAGTCGTATTATACGCATTGAATTAAACTTTAAGCTTTTTCTAAAATAAATATAATGTATAGAACTTTTCAATTATGAATCCCCTGATTAATTTGCAGTCTCCTTTCTTTTAATGAAATCTAAAAAAAAAAAAAATAGATTATGCCCATTTTCTACCACTTCGTTAATATTCAGTTTATTTATGCCTATTTATAAGTAAGTAACTACTACTTATATTAAGAAAATTATTTATTTTGTTATCTAGAATTGTGTTATTTATTTCTTTGAAGCTTAATTCATAAAAGAAACTATCGAAAGAAAATTTTCGATTTGATTAAAAAAAAATATTAACGTTAGAAATATTTTTTCATATTTATATATTTTTCTAAGTTTATAAATATTTTTTCCATTTCAATCTCTAATATTTGTAGTTTGCAATTTCCGAGACAATTTGTCTACAGTAAAGCGCCAGGTACGTCTGATAATTCTGGATGTCTTCCTTTGTTTTAGAAATGGCATTCGGGCTTAGCAAAGGCAGCACAGAGGTGGGCCGATCGTTGCCTCGGTTTGGTGCATGACAATGCGACCGGTCTGTATCTAGACGGCTTTGGACAGAGTGGACAAAACATATTCATCAGTACGGGTCGTACGCTCTGGTGAGATATTATTAAATCTTGTTTACTTCTAGTTAGTGAGTTCGCGTTGCAGTTGGTATATTTGTACGGATGTACTCCGTGCACGCGCGTTAGACTTCCGTGAAAATGCAGTGGTCCATCTGTCATGGATGCACCGTTAATTACCTTGCCACTTCATTATTTACATATCAAAAGATAATTTATTTTCTTGAAAAGAATATTATCCGGAATGATTAATCTTGCCGTTGAATACATACGACGAGATATTTCAAATTTTTCGATTTTATTGCGAAATATGTAATCGAGATAATTTCAAAAGAGCTGATCGCGTTCCGAGTCATTGAAAAATTTAACTTTGCGCTGTGAATTGAAAGAGCATATTGCTATAATCGTAATTAATTCTTCGGTCAACAAAGTTAGAATTAGATTACGCAAGCCAAACAATCCACGATGGGCTACAGCGTAGTTTTCGGTATATGCAGACTAGGGGCTTCACAAACATCACCGGACGCGGATGATTTACGTTACACGCGGACAAATCGCCATTGCCACAAATCGAGATCTCTCCCTCTGAATCATTTGTCGGAATGTTGTAGGAACTTCCCCATCAGAATGTGGTACATGGAGTACAAGGACTTCAAGTACGGACCCAATACGACGAATGAGATCCTCGAGATCGGCCATTACACGCAGGTGGTGTGGGCGACGACACATCTGGTCGGATGCGGGGTGAGCCATTGCACCGGCGGCAAAGGTCCGCTCGGCAAGGATTTCTATATGTATGTTTGCAACTATGCTCCGAGGTACGTATAATGTTGAACAATCGAAGAACCATCTGAATAGCGAGTTCAGTTAAGCGGATTGAGTTTCATCTTGCATTACACATAACATAACTTTCAGCTACTTTGCATCGAACGTGTTCTTCAATTGAAAAAAGAAACACATTTCCGGATATATTTTTTTTCCCTTCATCTTGACAGAGATCTTATAATTCATTTTTCATATGAGTTATATTATTTCTCATCAATCGCTCGTATCTAAATTTTAGAAAAATATTTGCTGGATGACTCTCGCACGTTATTTTGTTTACCCGTCGAAACGCGAGTTTTTATTTTTTTTCGGATTATGTAGTACAACAAAATACACGTGTAACACAAAGTTGTACACAAATACAGATTACATTGATGCGGTAGTAACGCGGTGTAATTATTTTCACCAGGGTTGCACGCCGTTTGCCATGACTGTTATGATACACGGTTGTTTCTGCAACAGCAATTGCAATTGGGCCATGGCTAGAACTTAGTTCATTAGCATGGAATTGACGCAATAATTTGCTGGAGGGAAATGCGGATTGAAACGGTTAACCGTAAACTTGGCGAAAGTAGCGTCGTGCGCGGCATCGTCAAAGCGGATCTTAGTTAAATCGACATTTACTGAATAGGAGAAGGTCAAAGCAGATTGTTAAATCATTAACATAAGAAAATAGAGACATGTAACGAGAAAGAGAGTAGGAATAACGAAAAGAGAAAAGAGCCTTATTCAATTTTGCGAACAGTTCGCTCTTTACATAACCGTTACACTTAAAAAAAAAAATTTTAATCTTGTATCATAAATAAATCTATTAGAAATTTTTCTCTAAAGAAATTAACTTTTGTATCAGTAAAAATTTGCAGACTAATAAAATAGAGGGGACAAAAACATAAATAAATATTATTAAGAAAAATATATTAGGCATCAATACGTAATAATAGAACTTGTAAAGTATATTTATGGAACAGAAGACATTTGTTATTTCACAATATTGGACAATTTTTTCCTTTAGTTTTTTCTGGAGTCTCATACACATATACATACACACACACAAGTATAGAATGCATAAGCAATTAAGGAGAATGTTGTTTGAGAAAACGCGCTGTCAGTGCTTCTTGAATGAATAACGATATTATAGTGTGCAGTGACCTTAGAATGCCTTGAGAATTGTAACTTTACATGGTGCGATGACTTAGGGAATTCGATACCTCGAAACTATAGGTGCGTTCCGTTTCGCGGCTATGTGAAGTTGGCCCCCCCACTATTGCAAATCTAAAAATGACCATTACCATTCGTTTGGTGGTCGTTTGGTGGTGTTTGATAGTCCATTCCGGACGTTTGGTAGTCAAAGATATAATGAGAAATGTCAAAAAAAAAGAACGCGCGTGAAGTTAGCCCCCCCATTTTTAAAACTCGGCTTTGCAAACTGCAAATACAATAATGTCTGTAAGCATTCGTTTGGTGGTCGCTTACTGACGTTTGGTAATCCATTCCCGATAATTGGTAGTCGAAAAATTATAGCAGGAAATATCAAAAAAAGGATATATGCGTGTGAAGTTAGCCCCCCCCATTTCTAAAACTCGGCTTTGCAGAATGCAAATGCAATAATGGCTGTAAGCATTCGTTTGGTGGTCGCTTACTGATGTTTGGTAGTCCATTCTCGAGTATTGGTAGTCAGAACTATAACTAAATCTTGTACAATCTAAGTACTTCTACATTGCACTATCTCTCCCTACTTCTAATATACACACGCACGCGCGCGTGTGTGTGTGTGTATGGGTGTGTAATATTTATCATGACGAACTTATTATATATATTGCTACATGTGGTTCTATCTTTTGTGGTTCGCGTTTTTCCTTTTTTTGACATTTCTCATTATATCTTTGACTACCAAACGACCGGAATGGACTACCAAACGTTAGTAAGCGACCACCAAACGAATGCTTACAGCCATTATTGCATTTGCATTCTGCAAAGCCGAGTTTTAGAAATGGGGGGGCTAACTTCACACGCATATATCATTTTTTTTATATTTCCGGTTATAATTTCAACTACCAAACGTCGGGAATGGACTACCAAACGTCAGTAAGCGACCACCAAACGAATGCTTACGGTCATTATTGCATTTGCAGTCTGCAAAGCCGAGTTTAAGAAATGGGGGGGCTAACTTCACGCGCGTTCTTCTTTTTTTGACATTTCTCATTATATCTTTGACTACCAAACGTCCGGAATGGACTACCAAACACCACCAAACGACCACCAAACGAATGGTCATGGTCATTTTTAGATTTGCAATAGTGCGGGGGCCAACTTCACATAGCCCCGTTTCGCGCATGATGCGCATAATGCATCAATTGTTTAACATTTGGTGGGCAACAAAAATAAAAGATGCATTATGCGCATCATGCGTGAAACGGAACGCACCCTATATCTCTTTCAAACGATTGCCAAAAATACGGTTTTCAGCCACTCCATATATGGAGTTACTTAATTATACATACTTCTTAGTTCTTATAAAAAATAACCGATGTTGTGTTCAAGCCCGTGTCACGTAAGCTTTCCCTAGACATGCTGAAATATGTAAATCCTATATTTATACACAGTATGTAAGTGACATAACCCGCTCGGAGGAGAACAGGAGGAACAAGGTAAGCAAGGAAAACAAGGAAAACGGTGACACTGGTGCGGAATACATGCAACGTCAGCGCGAGTTATAACTCGTTCGTCTTTGTCATACCCATTGTGGCACTTAGACGGCTCTCTTTGTCACCAGTATAGCACACTTTCTCGGTATACTTATGGTTTTCGCTGTCGTTACTACTGGATGAAATATATATATAATATATATACATATGCATATACATATATATGTATGTATATATATAAATATATATTATACATGTATGCAGGATGCTCAATGCAAAACATACGACGTACGATGTATGAATAAAATTTTCTTGAAACTTCGAGTGAGAGAGATGCGAGTTAGTTGAAAAGAAAAGTACTAATGCATATTTTGATATATTTGTTTAAAACATCGAATAACATTAAATTAAAAAGTATTAGTAAATTTGTAAAACTATATCTTTAAATGTAAAATTAATTTAAGAATACAAAAATGATTATACAATATTAGAATAAAGTTAAAAATATTGCGCTTTTTTTTATTTTTCTTATTAATAGAAACTCAAATTTATGTATTTTTTTTTATTATATATTTTTACTCTGTAAATAATACTATTTAGAAAAAATATAGAGAAAATAACTTAGCTTAATTTAATAATATGTACATTCTTGTATAATGTTCTAAAGATTATAAATTTAATAGTAATTTTTATCAAACATTTTGTATACAGCAATAATTCACTGGAATAGAGAATTGATTATATGTATATCACTCAGAGAGAAAGAGAGAGAAAGAGAGAGGAGGGGGGGAGGGAATCACGCTGCTACCTTTGCATTCCCGAGTAAGCTGTCCAAGTGAGTGACAATAAATAAATGATTTTCTCAACGACATTTCACGCGCGAGCGACTCACGCAATTAGAATTCGCTCCGGTCTTCGGTCTTGCAATTTATCGCTCCTGCAAACCGTACAAAAATGCCGGCGACCCAATTCTGAACTAAGGATTCCTACAAATCGTGGCACTATATATATTCCTCATATCGATCTCTCGCAATACGCAGACCCGATAAATTTTCCGCGAGATCCGTTCTAATATGATCGGCGACGAGCTCTCTCTCTTTCTCTTTCTCTCTCTCTCTCTCTCTTTTTTTCTCTCTCACCGCAGCTTCATATATTCATGTTACAAGACGAGATACTAACAGGCAAATGCGTATACGGTCGTCATATTAGCTTTTCTACCACAGAGAAACTCGGCGAGTTAAACTGAACCCAAACGTATTTTCGAAACAAATATAAAATTCATCAGAAGAATTCATTATAATCGATGTATAAAATATATTCTACGCATATAATTTTAAAATCTCGTGATTTTCACTATAGAATATATTTCATACACATCGACCATATATTCTATGAAGCAGCTTTTAAGATCATTTCATATGCCAATTTATATGTCAATCTGTACTTCTTGTTAAGCAACACACATTCCCCCAGTAGTGTATTTGACGCCTGACCTATTTTACGCGAAAAGCGAAGCCGGTGCAGCTGCATGGCCGCCATCAGTGGCCCGAGTTCTGAATAAATAAACCGTGTCACGTGGTGGTGGGCCACCTTATCCTTCCTTTTATCTCGCCGTTCTTCCACACCGGCTCTATCTCGTAATTAATTTCGTGGATATACAGCAGCCCCGAGCTGGCCGGCCTTTAGAGACGGAAATTCTCGGGATCGTTTAAGACGCGCGATTCGTACCGAAAAATACTTTGAATGTAAATTCGGTGGCCCATTTGCAAATTGCTCGACGATCCTTCCACGGCTTTTCGTTAATGCACATGGCTAATGGATTTGGATTAGGATATACTGTCTAAAGTATTTACACTATTATGCAGAGTATCTCAGAAATCAGGTATTTATTTTAAGCTATAAATGCTGGAGGTTATTTTAAAAAGAACGGGAATATAAAGGTATCCATAAATGAAATTTAACAAAGGTATTATTTAGAGTAAATAAAATCTCCTTACAGTGATTGGTTAATTACGTATTTTTTAGTTAATTTGGAATAAATTATAAATTAAGCAATTGCATCGATATAGAATTTTTTCTGTAAAAATATATAAAACTCTTATCTTAAAACATATATAATTATCAAGAGGATACTTGTTGCTGTTATATACAAAGAAATTTAATTCGAGAAATTTAACGTTAAAACACTTGATTCTAATTCTCGTATAATTACTGTTTTAATTTTTACAAGACAAACACGCGCATTAAACTTTTCTCACCCTTATCTGAGAAACATACAATTCACTCTTTTCCAACTTGCTGAATTATTTTTAATAGATAGGTACTTGAATGACATATCTTTTGATGTTATTTTTTACTTTCCTTCCTTCGTGCTCAAACAACATATATTTATAATAATAATATATACTCTGTATTCGAGCGATATAACGTATTTATACATATATTAAATAAATTATTATGACGTGAATGAGAATAAGTTAGAAGCTGAGAACAATAAGAACATTTTGCAAAGATCCAATGCAGCACGGACTAGTTTGATGCAAAAAAGAAAAATAAAATTTTCTCGCGTTACAAGTATATGAATGCTAAATTAGTGTCGTCGATTTTAAATTTATATTCTTGTCGCGCTGAAAATCCAAATTTTTCTTTCTTTTGTAGTGGGCCAAAGCAGCTGAAATGCGAAACGTGCTTCGATCTAACGATATTTAAATTGCGATGAAATATTTAAATTTATTTTTCACATTTTCATGTCGCTTCGAGCTCTTACGATCGATCCTGAGATCGATATTACTGGAGATCTAATAGCCGGTATGTTTTTGCCTCGCAGCGGGAATTACAAGGGCCGTCTGGGCTTGCCGTACGTGGCTGGGAAGCCGTGCAGCCTGTGCAAGGACCATTGCACGCAGGACGCGCTTTGCACGAACGCCTGCTATCATACCGATCTGTGGTCCAACTGCGCCGAACTGGTCAGGACGTTTGGTTCGTGGGTCTGCGAGACGGACACCAAGGAGGGTCATGAACGCCGAAAGTTCTGCGGCGCTACGTGCAATTGCAAGGACAAGATCTACTACCATCACGAAGGGTAGGAGGGCTCCTTGACTTTGGGTCCACCGTGTTGCATGAATAATTTAATCGCTCTGCAAAACTAAACTCAGACCTAGTGGGTGTTACGACGGCTAAACGGCAGTAGATCGTTTAATGGAGGGTCGTGTTGTTTTATTGATGAGCTCGTTTGTTTAGTGATGAGAGTTGGAGGAATGCTCGCGATGTTATGAGCGAAGGCATCGAGAAAGAGGGGGCGGGGGAGATAGAAAGAGAAAGAGACACACACAATACATATATACACATAGAGAACGGATAAACGGGATAATATGAAGGTAGATGAAGTGATTATGGAATTTGTATGCTATCTGAATCTCTGGGGCCTAAATTTTGCGGATTCTAAGGATTGTCCAAAATTTAATAGATCGATAGATTCTGTGCGGCGATTTAACAATTACTGCACATAATTTCGATTCCAGAGATTGCAAAATATTCTTGTTGTAATATAATCCTTGAATTCTATAGGATTCTGAATTTTACAATTCTCGAATGTTCAGGATCTTTTGAAATTTCACGAATTGCTGATGTAAAATTCGTATCTATCTTTTATGGTTTGCACAAAATCGCATTTTTCACGAAGTTTTATTTTTCCGCGAAGTAATCAATACAGTTGCAAACGATATCACAACCGTAAAAAATTTTGAATGCGCTTCAACAATACGTAATTTGATATTTAACTTCTTTGTGTTCGTTTCTTTCAATAATATAAAAATTGTTTTCAGAGAATGTGTTAAATAGAAATGGATTAATTTTTCAGACGAATATGTCTCGACATCGAGATTAAAACATATTACGTTTAACGTTTATATTTTACGCGTTAGAGATTGATATAATTTTGTAATTAATATTCATGCACACGTACATTTCGCGGGAAAACAAAGTTCCAGGACTGGGTTTGAAAAGTTTTTGGCGTACACTTTTAACTTTTAATCGGCGACTCTTTAATCTGCTTGCTCTTTTTATAAAAATAGAATATTTATGTTACATACATAGTCAAGTTATGTATAAGATTTTGAGCTGCCGACTTTTTACATCTTTTGAATACCTACAGGTAAATAATTTCTGAAAACCATCACAGCTCTTGTGTTTTATACATGATTCAGAGTGCGATTCAATCTGTACGTATTCAAAAGAAGAATAAAAAGACTAACTGTACATCTTATATTCTCGTTCATAATTATTTTCACATTGTGTTCTTATAAATTTGTATAAAGTAAAGTTTAAAACATAACAAATTTTATCAGTTTAATGTGGTTGCCTGCGAGAATTATATTTTTGGCTTTAAATATCTGTCATATTATAAAATATTCTACATCAAGTTAATTAAATGGGTAATCGAGAAACTCATTTAAACAGAAAACATAATAAGCTCATTCGAACTTATTACATTTTGTAAATTTAATCGTGAATGTTTGTTATTTCTTCTATTTTTATCTGAAAAATAAATAAAAAAAAAACTGTAAATAAATCCAGTGGGTAACATATCGAAACTGACAATTATTAAACGATAGACGTACTTCTCTCTAATTTTAGCTAACTTGTTAAGGGAAACAATGTAAAAATTAAACTAAGCATTGAGGAGACGGTGTATCGATGTTTCTTGTCGTGATGTAACGATGGAACTTCCCTTTGTTAGCAATTAATGATAATGATAACAGTTATTTTTATCTTAGATTTAACAACAGCATGTTTACGTGCAACGCGATATCGGATGAAAACAAGTTGGAATTGCAAAGTTAACTCTTTACCGCATAATTTCTCTTACAATTAAGAATATATTTCGGATGAGCAACGTGGTGCGTTTAATCTAAAGATATAATACTCTCTTCTCGCGAAACGATTTACAAAGACACATATCGCGCGACAAAAGCGCATTATTATTATCTTCGTAATGATGCGTTTATCATGTAAAACGAGAATTATCGGCCAAATCATGAATGAAGATTTATAATAACAAAAATGCGAAAAGTTCTTCTATCGAGTAAAAGACACATTTTTCTAAAAATAAAATATTACAAATATTTTATATAAATGACATCTATTCGATTATTGTAAAAAGTGAGGTGTAATATAGTGCATGCATCGCACGGTTTGTGACCGGTTATAACGGTTAATGAAAAATCATTGTTGTTATTTTTATAGGAACTGAAAAATCGATATTGTGGAATACATGCCATATAATAATGCGGTAAAGAGTTAAGATAAATCGTAAATCATAAGACACATAATCAATACTATATGCGTTGGGAAACAATACATGTGACGAATGGCGAGCGTGATTGATGATAATGTTAGGTATTTGATTGTCGATAATTAAGTGATTCGTTAAAGAGATATAACAGTGAATGTAACGGTACAGCTCCAAATAAAATGTTTAAACTGTAATACTTTTTGTCCACTTACAAAATAAATATCCTGTAAATATTACATTTTCCTGCATTTCATCATTTACTTAACCATATTCGAGTAGCCATAATCCTTCAATAATTGTTTGAATAATTTACAATTGGAATATTGAAATAATAAAATTTATCAATATGCATAAGTATCCCTGGCAACGTATAATAACAACAGAGTTGCGTACCTCTTTGGTGCCTATAATAAATTAATGTATATATTGTTAAATGTGGACAAAGTGTAGCCACAAATAGTCTCGATTGGGAAAATGAACGCGTGTTGGTCGATTATAGTGCGTTTAATCGATCCGTAATATTTATTTGTTGCTAGGGAATCGAAGGATTAAACGGAATTATATGGCGAATAAATCGATGAGAGCTTTAAGGGAGGATAGAAAGAGAAGGAAATTATCCCCTAGGTCAAGAGAAATGTGCAGTCGGTGAATTCGAGTTAGCGGTGAACCGAATGCATACTCTCTTTTTGCTTCAAAGGGCTTAGGAATGCTTTTCAAACTGTGTCCGGGAACCGACAATAATGGCTCCAAACTTCGCTAGACTTTTAAATGAAGAGCACTGCATTGAGATTTTCTTACGTCAATCGGTGTAACTATTGATTTTAGCGTTAATCCTTTCGCTAAGCGTAAATATAATGGTAAGTAATTTTATGCATTTCTTATTATTGTTTAGCATTTTTTCTCCTCGCATTTTTAATTCCAAAATTTTAATTCTATATGCAAATTTAATAAAGAAAAATCCTAAGTACCATTATATTATTATGTTTGTATAAATATTTATTATATATTTATAAAAATAAAATTATTTTTGGTTAATTAACCGAACACTCAATTAAAATGATTTTATTCAACATTTAATAGTTATTATCAGACAAACTCTTTTAATGTGTTGAATTCTAATTTAGATAATCTATCAGAAGAATTAAATTAAATTAATCAAAATAAATAGGCCTTTTAACGAGAGAGGAGATACATATAGCAGAGGGGGTATCAAATAATGTATTATTTTATAAATCCTTTTGTCAGTTGAGCCGGAATCGGTCGCTCAGAGCGATACAGCCATCAATTTCTGTAATATCAAAGGACGCGAACGAAAATCGATTTTATCGTAACGGGCCCCACCAAGTGGAATAATACTCGTTCGTTGCGGAATTGGGCCGATTTGTCCGTGAGCTGACGACTTGGGCAAAGCCGAAAGGCCCGTCGACACAGATTCCTTTGAACATACCCATCGGAAAGCCGGCAGAACCGAATGGCAACGCCATTCCGTTGCCGATAATGCCGCCACGCGTTTTCGTCAAAGATCGGCGATCGCATTGTCGTGAACGAGCAATTTCCTACCGTGCGTCTTTCGAAGATTTCTACAAGACGATTGAAATCAACTAGTCGGAGCGGAAGGTTCGTTCGCTGAATTTAATCCTTTTTGTAGTTCCTTGAATTTTAGGGTGTAAGGTTTAGGAGTGCCCGAGGAGATTAAAAGTATCGCGAATATAACGTAGGAAAATCTAAAAGAGCACGAGAGAGACTAGCGAGTTTTATTTTACAAATTGCTTCAAGTTCGTTGAATAATTTATTCGCCCAGTATCTTGCGTGCATAATTATTGTTTCGTTACATATGTATCTATTTATAACAACATCAAGTATCAAATGTTTTCTTAATAAACATATATTTTACTATACAAAGGAAACAATATAAGACAAAAGGAAGTTATTCTGATATTAAAGTATTATATAAAATTATATAAGATAAAAAACCATATTATATAGCAGAACTTAAACGTTTCATAACGTAAATGGATTTTTGTTTTTTGATTAATTTTAAACAGATTTTGCTTTAACAAGTTTTATTTCAGGTTTCATTATCGAGATATTTTAAAAGCATTTAAAGATCCGTTGTGTAAAAATTAAAATTATTTTCCGAAACACAATGGATGGCGAATAAAAAAAAAGTTTTCTATGTACGTAAATATTGTCACACTTATTATACAAGAATGTTGCAATTATCCGGAATCCTGGCAATGCAATAGGCTTGTGACATACATGATTCAGTATATGTAATTTACAATGGCTTTGCTAAAGCAGGTGTGGGTTGATTTATGAACGCATTACTATACCCAGGGCGCTATCATTAGTTGATTGATAGTCAGCAATTAAACTATAAAGTAGCTATGAGTTCAGTTCTAATTACTTAGAAATCTAACGGAATTCCTACGCTAATAGTGGTACGTAAAATATTTTTAAGTTTCATATCGAAAAATTGATCTGTGAGTAAAATTAAATTATAATCTTGGTACTCTTATGGAGATTATTAAAAAATTTTCGATAATTTATTACTGATAGAAGATATATTTTAGTATGGCATAATATAGCCGTAATGTATCAATAATTACTCTGATATTATATAACATTTCGTCATAAAACAAATCAAATCTTGGCTATAAGCTATAAAATATATTTGATTTCTATTTATTACAACAAGAGTAATAACAAATTGCACTTTGTTGAATTTTAATAGAAAAAGAATATATATTCGATGCTTCATTAACAAATGAAGTTAATATAATACTTTTCATGAAATAATGTTTCCGGTTTCATATTGCATAACATCATTGAATTACTCAGTGTCCAAATATTATACAAACCATGTTTTCTTTATAATACGCGTTCTCGATGTTTACAAATGCAAATGTTTATACTGTTGTAAATAATTGATTGGAGTGGAGAACACGTAATTATTTGAAATTTCACGTAATTGCGCTTGGCGTGCCTCGATTTGTTATGTTAATTGAATTCCTTGAGAGAAACTAGGACATTAAATTTTATCGAATACCGGGGTATCTCGAACATTAGATCGATAGCCCACACAAGGAATTTTGTTTTTATTCCTGACTGCTGTAGAAGTGTATTTATCAGAAGCCTGTTTATATCGAAAGAATGAAGTGAAATTTTGAAAAAGAGCTCTTCAGTT